CGTTCTTCTCTCCTCTCTCTCCCCTCTCATAGTATATATTATTCCATATAGTTAGAGAGAGAGAGAGACAGAAGAGAGAGAGAGAGAAGACTGAGACAAGAAGAGTACGAGAGAGAAGACGAGAGAGAGAACTGCAGAGAGGAGAAAGAGAGAGAGAGAGAAAGATATAATATGATATGATAATATTATATCGCTCTCCCCATTCTCGCTCTTTCTGATCATTTTCTCACCTTTCGCCTTCGTTTTCGCGCACTAATATCGTGACGCACTAATATACCACTAATCATTGGTACGAGAATCTGTATGATATATGTTCGATTACAACCACTCACAATTTACGCAAGACCACTGCTCGGTCGCAGATATATTTCTCTCTCTCGGGCTCCGCGGTTTGCGCTCGCGCGTCTGGATTTGAAATGTTCAACAATTATTTTTGAAGGGGATGGCTTTCCATACCTGTGCATGTGATTAGTTATCAATGGGCAGGCTACTCGTAGCGTCTAATTACTATACGTCAGAGTGTTCTTTGCGAGCGCCCGCTGGAGCGTTCCGTGTTCCGATGTCAGTTCCAGGCCTATTTACACGATGCGTCCTAGACGTCTAGACGTACGTCCAAAACGCACCGTGTATGACAATGCAAATGTATGACCCTTGCGATGTCGGATGCACAGGACGGATGTTCTAAAAGCCTATTTACACGATGCGTCCTAGACGTACGTCTAGGACGTACGTCCAAAACGCACCGTGTATGACAATGCAAATGTATGACACTTGCGATATCGGATGCACAGGACGGATGTTCTAATTTCTTCCAATATTGCGTTTGCATTGTCATACACGGTGGACGTCTAGGACGTACTCGTGTAAATGGGCCTTGAATACGTTTTGCGTCCGCCTCAGCGCCCCCTCTTTCTCTCTCTCTCTCCCTCGCTGAATACATGATCTAGAAATTGCGCGGCAATCTTTTACGCAGACGATGAAATTCGCGAATAGAACGATGCTTTCGGAATGTTTACGAGTTTCTATAGTCGCTCGCGCTGCGGAAAATATACATTGCACTCGATCGTTCTCGCGGATCTTCCTGGAAATATACGAGGAAAGGCGACGATTTTCGCGAAATCTTAACATTGACTGACCTTCACAAAGCCAGCGGCTCCTGATCACGACTGGACTCGCCATGGCTCCTGTGGCGGGAGGTAGAGACTGCTTATAAATAAATCCGAATAAGAAATCCTCATGCAAGTTGAACATTTCTACATATAACTAAATGGCGGGTATATTGGAATTATGCTAATTAGGGCAGCAATATTGCATTTTTGCATGTTAGGAAGGGATCCAATTTTATTTTAGTCGGACCTTTAGTATGTTGTTCACTAAAATGCACTGCAGTGAAATCATTTCTGTTGCTTTTTTTACGCTTAAATGCTATAGATTTCCTGGACTATGATACACGTCCTCGCAAGATAGATCAAGCACGGACGATCAGATTTGAAGATTTGCTATGTATGGTGCTTGTAATATATGATATGGGGAAATTAGAGACGTTATCGTGAGATGCATCAAACATGGCCAATCAGAATTGTAGATTTGTTATGTATGATAAAAGGGGACATAGAGGCGGATGCTTGGTGAAAGGTCAGATTGCTTGGCGATATATATATAGATCAATAATGTACGAGGTGCCTGACTTTCTTTATTGATTGGGAGTTGTGTGGGATGGCTAATGAAGTTTCGCTCATAAGGTCTATGTCTCCCTGGGTACTGCCGGAACGTACCCTGGTAACTATCTGATATGGTTAGGGTTAAGGTTAGGGTTAGGGTTAGGGTTAGGTGAGGTACGGTCCGGCATATTAGACGTTACCAGGGTACGTTCCGGTATACCGGACTGTACCCAAGGTACGTTTCGGCAGTACCCTAACACATTGTCAATAATTCTATTATAGTTATATATTCAGTTAAGAAAAAAGCACGGTACCAGTCTACCTTCATATCACGTAATGCTTGTCTGGATGCTGAGGATGCCGACGGCGCATGCGCGGCAGAATCGTACGCGATGATGCGTCGATGACGTCACAATGTACAGTCACGCTGTCGAATTGTTCCCGGTTTACATTTATTCAGACGAATAGACTATACGTTCGTGTACTAGTTGCATTAAGCTACAAAACCATATTATTATTTGCATATATGCGATGTTGCGTATTGATAGTACACAACAGCAATCACACAAGCAATCCCGATTAATAATATATATATATATATATATAATTATATATATATATATATATGATCGCTGGTCGACCATAAAACTTCAGCTCGTCGGGTCTATGTCTCCCACTGTGTACGATACAGGTGCACGTCTCCTAAAAAACACATTTTCGTTGCTCTAGCGTTAACGCGCTTAAAAACGCTGCTAGGGCAGTGGCGTAGCTAGGATTTCCTCAGGCGGGGGGGGGGGGGGGCACTGGGGGGCCTTACATTTTCGTTGAGGGGGGGGCAC